CCTTGGCCCTATCTCAAAGAATTTTTCGAAATAGTGGAAACATTAAACTTTCAATTCATATAGTGGCATCTGGCTATTTCTTTTTATACTTTAGGTAGTTTTTTGAGCACATACTTTACACTTTTACCTGAGTAAAGAGGTCAAGTTTATATTTTAACTTTTATCAGAGTGTTTTTAAACGACAGTATATATACTTCTTCTTAAGTAACAAATGTGTGTGCTTTTGACACCACTGATACAAGTAAAGAATTAGCTCTCACCAATAACAAGTAGGCTGAAGAAAATAGTAAGCCCACTGGACTGTTCTTCCTCCTGGGCCTTCACCCCTGTCTGCACAGGCAGGATAGGCTTTGGGGTTGGGGGGGCTGGTGTGGTTGGCTTGGCAACAGCTGCTGTCGTGTGGAGGGTCTCATTGCTGTAGTTTTCAGAGGTCTCATTGGATTTGCTGCAAGAGGAGAGTTAGCAAGGGTACAGCCTAATTGGTTTGATAATCTAAAGATAAACTGACCACAAAAAAGCAATACAGCAACAGCAATAATAAAATCCCCTTAGACTAAAAAAATAAAGTTTAGCTGCTAGCATATTCAGGGACACTTTGATCTGCCATAAACAGTCACCACTATTTTATAGAAAATACACAGGAAAAGATACACCTATACAAACAGATACAACAAATCGCAAATACAGGTGCTGGTCATAAAATTAGAATATCATGAAAAAGTTGATTGATTTCAGTAATTCCATTTAAAAAGTGAAACTTGTATATTATATTCATACATTACATACAAACTCATATATTTCAGATGTTTATTTTGTTTAATTTTGATGATTACAAATGACAACAAATGAAAATCTCAAATTCATCATATCAGAAAATTAGAATATTGTGAAAAGGTTCAAAATTGATGGCCCCTGGTGCCACACTCTAATCAGCTAATTAACTCAAACCACCTGCAAAAGCCTTTAAATGGTCTTTCAGTCTAGTTCTATAGGCTACACAATCATGGGGAAGACTGCTGACTTGACAGTTATCCAAAAGACGACCATCGACACCTTGCACAAGGAGGGCAAGACACAAAAGGTCATCGCCAAAGAGGCTGGCTGTTCACAGAGCTCAGTGTCCAAGCACATTAATAGAGAGGCGAAGGGAAGGAAAAGATGTGGTCGAAAAAAGTGTACAAGCAAGAGAGATAACCGCACCCTGGAGAGGATTGTGAAACAAAACCCATTCAAAAATGTGGGGGAGATTCACAAAGAGTGGAATGCAGCTGGAGTGAGTGCTTCAAGAACCACCACACACAGACGTATGAAAGACATGGGTTTCTGCTGTCGCATTCCTTGTGTCAAGCCACTCTTGAACCACAGACAGCGTCAGAAGCGTCTTGCCTGGGCTAAAGAGAAACAGGACTGGACTGCTGGTGAGTGGTCCAAAGTCATGTTCTCTGATGAAAGTAAATTTTGCATTTCCTTTGGAAATCAAGGTCCCAGAGTCTGGAGGAAAAGAAGAGAGGCACTTCATCCACGTTGCTTGAAGTCCAGTGTAAAGTTTCCACAGTCAGTGATGGTTTGGGGTGCCATGTCATCTGCTGGTGTTGGTCCATTGTGTTTTCTGAGGTCCAGGGTCAACGCAGCCACATACCAGGAAGTTTTAGAGCACTTCATGCTTCCTGCAGCTGACCAACTTTTTGGAGATGCAGATTTCATTTTCCAACAGGACTTGGCACCTGCACACAGTGCCAAAGCTACCAGTACCTGGTTGAAGGACCATGGTATCCCTGTTCTTAATTGGCCAGCAAACTCTCCTGACCTTAACCCCATAGAAAATCTATGGGGTATTGTGAAGAAGAAGATGCAATACACCAGACCCAACAATTCAGAAGAGCTAAAAGCCACTATTAGAGCAACCTGGGCTATCATAGCACCTGAGCAGTGCCACAGACTGATCGACTCCATGCCACGCCGCATTGCTGCAGTAATACAGGCCAAAGGAGGCCCAACTAAATACTGAGTGCTGTACATGCTCATACTTTTCATGTTCATACTTTTCAGTTGGCCAACATTTCTATAAATCCTTTGTTTTTATTGGTCTTCAGTAATATTCTAATTTTCTGATATGATGAATTTGAGATTTTCATTTGTTGTCATTTGTAATCATCAAAATTAAACAAAATAAACATCTGAAATATATGAGTTTGTATGTAATGTATGAATATAATATACAAGTTTCACTTTTTAAATGGAATTACTGAAATCAATCTACTTTTTCATGATATTCTAATTTTATGACCAGCACCTGTAATGTGAAAATTATACGTTTAAGTCGAAAAAGGGACTAATTTAAACAGGACAAGAAAAAGCTCTTGCCACGTAAGTTGCTTTCGACAACATAAAAATGAATTAATCGAATAACCTGAGAGAGTGCTTCTCCGTATTTTCTGCTGTTTCTCTGTTTGTCTGCTTGTTTTGGTCATCCTTATTCTCCTGCCTGTTGTCTCTCTTGTGAAGGTCCCAGGAGTTAGCCTTATCCTGTCCCTCTGACACGCACAGATTCAAGATGAAAAGTAACAAGAACCACGAAAAGACTTTAAACTTGATGTATCTCATCCTCAACTAAAAGTCCTTTAGATCTAATGATAATGTGTTACATTAATAAAGACTAAGGGATTCATATCTGCTGCTTCGTATATCTGTTGACGTCACAGGAGCCCTTACTTCCTGGTAAAGCATTCGCTGGGAGTTGTAGTCTTGTCAGATTTTTAATTTATTAGAAATAAACCGACTCGGAAAAGAAGACATGATTGATTACCATTTTGTTTAACTAAATTTGTAAATGATCTTTATTTGTAGTTGATATTAGACCCTGAAAATATCTGAACGAGTTAAAGTTGAGTTAAAGTACTAATAACTCAATTTCCCATGAGGCATTGCGCTGCACCGTCAGCCTTCCGCTTCCAAATGCCTGCGTCTAATAAATAACCCAAGTTTTCTGGCTTTACCATGTATCACTTAAGGCACTTTCTGATCTTACGATCTTAGGCTGTATAAGCTGTGTGTATTGTTTTGTTTTTTGTTTTGTTTTTTGTTGTTGTTTTTCTTCGTGTATCTGTGTGTATATGCTTCCAAGACACAATTTATATATATATATTAGCTCTTTCACTTATTTGTTCCTTCTTCGGGCTTCTTTATAAGCCTATTTGTGGCTCCCTGGGTAAGCTATTATCTTGCATATCATTTCAAGGCATTGGTCTTTATACCACTTTTATTGATGAATTGCTTTCAAAGCAGAACAAACACATCCAATAAATAAATAATCTAAAACCTCATTGGGTTATGTTATGTTAAAGGCAGGCAAAGATATATAATTTAGGCCTACATGTAACTCATACTGAACAAAAAAATAGATATACAGACAGACAGACAGACATACAGACACATGAAATGTGTTGTGAATGGGTGCAGAAAAAGTAAAAAAAAATAAATTAAATAAAAGTAGAAAAAACATAACAAATCTAGGGTTTTTTCAGGGACTTAGACTTAGAAACTTAAACAACTTTTATCGTAATTTTGTATACACAGACTGTATACAAAACTAAATTTGGTTTTGTACACCTCTCATGAAATTTCCATTTCTTTAAGTGCAGCAGTGTTTAAATGTAAACAGTGTGGGAGAAAAAACTATGGTGCAAAAAAAAAATGCATTGATATGGAAGTTCAGAGCATATGGTGTAAATATGCAGATTTTTGGTTTGGTGTTGACAGTGTGATGCAGAGTCTGTGAAAAGATCTAGTTTTTTCAACAGTTCAACAATCTAATGGCAGTGGGGAAGAAGCTGTTTCAGAATCGGCTGAACCTGCATCGAATGCTATGAAGCCTCTTCCCAGAGGGCAGAAGGGAGAACAGTCCATGGTGGGGATGTGAGGGGTCATTGATAATGTTTCGGGCTCGGGACAGGCAGCGCTGAGATGAAATGTCTTTAATGGAAGGAAGAGGAGCCCCGATGATCTTCTCTGCTGTTCTCGTTTTCATGTTGTGGGGATCAGCTGCTCCTTATGGGGCCTGATGGCTGGGCCCGACATGGGGAATTGCTTTTTTGGGGTCAGGGGTCATGTTTAGGACTAAGCTGGGAATTGTGGGGTTATGGTTAGGTATGAACCTGTAATGCTTATGATTAGGGGAAGGGTCACAGTTAGGCTGTAGAAAAGAATGGAAGTAAATGGAAAAGCCCCACAAAAACCACTAGACACCATTTGTGTGTATTTATGTGATAAAATGAAAACTGATGCAGGACATGGGTTGCTAGCAATATTTATTTCATTAAAATAAGTGTTTATTGTTTTTCTTCCCAAATTGTACACAAATCATGTTTATTTGTGTGTATATATATATATATATATATATATATATATATATATATATATATATATATATATATATATATAATAAAAAATAAAGTAAAAAAATAAAATTAATAAAAAAATAAATACATAAAACATTTTTATTTTATTAAGTCGGATAAAACGTAAATTATTTATCATTTATGAGACCCTTATCATTTTTGCTCAGGCGAATAGCTCGCTTATAACCATAGCATCACCATTAAGTTTTCTTCTTTAATATATTTTAATATATATATTTTATTTATTTATGTATTTTATAGAATAAAAAAAATAATAATTTTTTTTTTTGCTAATTAAGTCGGATAAAACGTAAATTATTTGCTCAGGCGAATAGCTAGATGACGATTTTTTAATTTATTTTATAGAATAATTTTTTAATATATAGAATAAAAAAATAACAAAAAAATATTATAAAAAAAATATTAAACATATTAAATAAAAAATAATACTTATAATAATAATAAAAAGCAGTAAACTTTCTAAAAATGTTGAGGTGAAGAAGATTTTTTTTTTTCTTTTTTTTTTTCCGAACGTTGTCAAATCACGTCGTTTTACGCGCTACGTATTTGGCGCTGAGTAAGATCCGGAGCCTCCGCGTTAACGCCCACTTGAGGTATTGCTCTTTTTTCTCTCTGCGGAGGGACCGCTCCATTCATAGGGCAGGGCAGGCAGGCGAGCAGGCTTGGCAGCAGAAACATAAAGCGACACAAACACCGTCTGCGACGAGGTGTGGAACCGAAACGATGGTCTTGCGTTAAACCCACCAGCCTTTCCCCCCTTACACCCGCGAAATCTTCGCTGGCCATTTTTTTTTCTTCCATCGGAAATATCACGAAACCAAACCTTCACCTTCTCCTCAGAAATGGACCTCTAGAGTCTCGGCTGAATGTTCCCATCCTTGTTTTTTGCCGCGGAAATAGACTGACTTCCTCGTCGCCTGTTCATCTGCTGCCGCAGACCTACCCCTTCATTTGACTCATTTGGCCCAGACCGTCTGCAGACTCACTGGCTCAGGCATCTGGACACATCGGGGCTGCTTTTGCCATCTTTGGGGGATACAGGAAAAAAAAAAAAGCAAAAAAAAAAAAACGTGCTTTTTTGTGCTTCTTGCGCTGCCTGTATGATGCCGACACATTTGCGTTTCCGGAGAAGGTCATTCCTTGGGCTTTTATTCCTTTTTTCACTCTCCACCTCGGTACTCTATTTCATCTACTCCGCCCCCGGAATCGGTAAGTCCCATCGAATGGATGGTTTTGTTCCCAATTAGCCCACCGACAGGAGGAGGCTGAGGATGTTTGTATGGGCCGTTAGGTCATGTGTGACAGTTGGGCCACGCGCCTCCGCTCAGGCTGGGTATCATCAGCCGGCTGGATGCTGATCCCATAATATCCATGTACCTGGCCGTCATAATAACGGCTGATGATCATGGCTATTATAATCTGCCTGATGTTGCTAGGGCCTTTTGGTTGTGATCACAGCTCTTACAGTGGCCTAAAGCCTAGAGACCGCAATAAAAAAGAAAAAAGGCTGTATCTTGGTCGTGATTTTTAGACAGATTTAAGTAGCCATTTAATAATCAGCATCCTCCACCCCACTGACGTACTCAAGGTGTCATTTTGAGGGCATTTTCTTGAAGGGTTTGTGAACCTAGCAATGCGTTCCTTACATCATGATGCTGGCTGTTAGTCACATGCAGTTGTGTAATATCACATGTCCAGAATTTCCTATGATTAATTCATTAATGTATCTTTTCTTCTCCTGTGCTTCCTTGTTAGTCTCTCTATCTACCCTTTGGACCATAAGTCACCTTAGTCACCTCCAGTCATTTGCCCATTCTCCTTTTTAAACACTCCAGTGCACAGCATTTTCCACTCCTCTCACCAGGTAGATGCATAATCCCAACCATGCTTGCTTGCTAGAAAATTCAATTAAATTCAGTTTATTTCTATAGCACCAATTCACAACGCACATCATCTCAAGGCACTTTACAGTTAACCAGATCATACGGTCAAACTGATTCAAAGTTTTCTGCTGGTTGGTTTTATCGATTCATTGACTTAAATGCAATCCCTCACACTAAGCATGCTTGTAGCGACAGTGGAGAGGGAAAACTCCCTTTTAACAGGAAGAAATCTCCAGCAGAACCAGGATCAGTGTGAGCGGCCATCTGCCAGGGCCGACTGGTGTTCAAGGAGACAGAAGCAGAGATACAAAAAGCAGCTGTAAAGGGTGGCCCCGTCCAGGAAACACACCAGCCAGGCCAAATGTAATCAAGGGAGGCATAATTCGGCTAATGATAGATAAACAATGGAAAAACAATAGGAGTTATGGATTGTGGAAGACTGCAAGATACATTTTTCCTTATTGTTTTGCTTAAGAATAGTACAGTGATTTATTTTTTTTTATTATTATTATTTAGATGCTTCTGTGCTTAAGCACACCTGATTTTTAGATGGCTTTTGCTAAACTGCATTTATCTGAATCAGGTGAATTCAATCATAGAAATATGTAAGACACACATGGGAGTGTCTGTGAAGAAAACCACCTGCAAAGTATGTATTGGAGACAAGAAGTAAGTTTTAAAGTATTGCAGCGTTGAAAAGGGAGCCTAAAATTTTATTAGCATACAGTGATTTATGTAGTTTTGCCGGATGACCAGTGGAAAAGTTTAAACATTCAATTACAAATACGAAAATAAAGGTTTTCATTAGAGAGGAGTCTGTTAGGCTTTCTACTTCAGTTGATATGATTTATTGAAGTTTTATTTGCCAATTCAGTTTTTTTTAAAGAACTGTCTAATGTCAGTGTCTGAAATGGGTGGGAGTTTTTAGCCTTGATGTAATGGAAATGTGAAGAAACCCTTTCCTGCTGTGATCTACCTGCCATCACAGATCAGATCCAATCAAGGGAAATGAGGCCGTTTGATGCAAGTCTGGCTTTTATTTCATTCTGAATCATTGCTTCACTGAACTTTCTTCAAATCTCAGTGAGAGTTGGGCTCATGAATTTGTTTCAGAAATGATTTTATTCATTATTACTTTATATTTTATATAGGCTGAAAATTGAAAGAGTTTCCTGGTGGATAGAGATCAGCTCAAAATGAAAATAGTCACAAAACTTATTCACATGAGTAAATAAAAGATTTCACCACAGATCAACTACAAATTAATAGCCTTAACATTGCAAGCTAGAAGATAAACCAGATTAAATAGTTTTAAAGTCATTACTCCACCCTTCCTAACAGTGATAGTCAGCAAAGCATTTATCAGGCAGAGTTGTTTGTACCAGCCGGTACTTTAACGCTGCATTAGCCGGTGAGTGACCAGGTTAAAGTCAGTAATCTGAAGCTAACTAAAGGAGTGATCCTAGCAGTGATCTGTAGTGATTTCAGACGATGTGTTAGGGTTCTTGTGCAACTAAAGCTCAGGCATTTTTTAAGTGGGATTTGGCATCTTAATAATATACAGATAACTCCAAACAAGTAACAACCTTAACATTGGGCCCGTTTTCATCCCGTGTTATACCTGCAGATACAGATCTAGATGGAGTTTTATTCAACATGTTTTATTACACGTTCTGACACATCAATCAATACCCTTCCCATGGCAAAGATCATAAATGATTTGAGATGTTTCAGTTGTCATGTTCTTCTTTCCCCCTTTCAACATCTCTATCAGTGAGTTCAGAAAAGGTAGTATAAAGGAACAAATACTCTGGCTTTGAGTCTGTATGTCTCATTATTACTACTTTTGTTTTCTGAAGATGGAGGACCGTCAAAATACAGTTTCATTATAGTCGCCGTGAAACAGACCACACAAAAAGTTGAGGTATATTTCCTTTCATTCAAGTTATCTTTAAGCTGAAGCTGTGGTAGGTAAACTCTATCTGATATTTATAATTAATAAAGATTACTCTCAGAAACACGTTTAATCATACATTACTTACACATCCCATGCTCTTTAGTCATTTATCTGCGTCATCAAAATGTGTTGGACGGTAACATGTATGATGAATTTACAGCGTAACTCCCTTTATTATGCATTAACTTGCACCTAGAGATCAGATAGTTTCTATTTTAAATGCCAGTTCAGGTAGGGAATTTGACCATTATTCTTACTTACTGCTCATGAATCCGTCTTTGAGTCTTAGCCAAACACATCAATTTAAAAGGGTTATCTTGCTTGTTTAAGACAAAAATAGTGGCTTATGATCCCAAACCTTTTCTTGGGCTCCTCTTTGACTTAAATGAAAGTTTTTGCTCGCCCCTTCACCCAATCTTTTTTGACACCTGAGCAAGGAAAAGTCAAATTATATTACTGTAAAATAATCAGCAAATTAATTTTAAATCACAAACCTACCACCTTTATAGTGTTATTTTATATTTAAACATTAAGTGTAAAAGAATTCCATATTTCCTTCACAATGATTTAGTTTTTCTTGCTTGAAAATGAGCTCTCAAAAATGGTCCTTTATTCAGTTCAGCGAACTTTTATTGCATGGCTACATTCTTTTTGCATTGGCGGCGAGGCTGCTTTCTTTCAAACTATTGATTGATCGCTGCATGTTAAGAAGATCATAAATATTAAGACCTGAAAGAAAATTGGTATCTTCTAGAAAAAGTCTAATTGGTGCATCTCTAAGTTGTATTACATTTAGCCCTTTTAGAATAAGAAATGTATCTGTTACTCATCTGAGTGGCTTTCTACTGGTTTCTGCTTTTTACAGGCTAAGGACAACTTAGTCTTATCAATTAATTATTAAATAAAAGCTCCATGAATGGCATTAAGTCAGAGTAAGTGAAAGCAGTTATTAGGCAAAATGTGACAAGTATATTAAAAATAATTTGAGAAATGACATAAGATAATCCTTTTTAGTTACTGGCTGGTTTTCCAGCATGTGAGTCGATGTTGTCTGACTGAAAGCTGCAGTAGGGCCGTATTCATCCCAAGGGTGTTGACCGTTGTGGGGCTTTAATGGACACATGCCTTACTGGATGGTTAGTTTAAAAACGGAACAAGGACCAGCAGCACTAGTCCCATTAAATATGCATGATACCCAGGAAAGAAGCAGAGTTTTCTTTTTCTTTTTTTTTCTTCTGTCAATCATTACTGCTTTTTAAGTGTTTTTTTTTTTTAAGCAGCTGCTTAGCTAGGAAATCATAAGAGTGTTGGAAAGGAAGTTGTGTTGATGTTAATTCTCAAGTAAAATTAGGGGTTAATGAGCTTGTGTTGCAAGTAAGAATTAAGGAAGTAATAGCAAAAGAATGGTAACTTTGAAAGTTGCAAAAACCAAAAAAGCAATAAAACAATAAAAAAACCACACAGAGGAACTGACCTATTACTTCTTTTAAACCTGTTCACATATGGGGCTAAAATGCATCTGTAAAGACCACTTGTCCTCATGGTTAACCAGCCTGTATGCAAAAAAAGCAGGTAGCCCATAACCCCACACAACCTGCAGACATGCATGGATTTGCAAGCATATCATTATAAAAGAATAAAGGTGCATTTTCTTTCCAGCATACACAGATTTTAAATGCATCAAAACTAAATTCATTTTGCATAGAGCACACCCAGATTCTAGGTGTTTAAATAATAACTTACACTTGATGACAAGAATAAGGGTAACTGTAAGATTGTCAAATTTAAAATTCAGGGTGGTCGTTTTCTTTTTCTTTTTTTTGGTAAAGGGATTATCATTTATTTTTGCAGAATTTTCACCTAAGGAATAAAACTCAGACACAGTAGAAAAGGCAAAGATCAGCCTGAGAGATTTAAGTTAAACTATTTGTCTGACGATACTCTAGTTGTGATAAATGTTTGTTAGTGTGAATACTTGCCACCTCTATTTGTCAAAAGACCAGAGCAGCAGCTATGTAAATCCCTTGTGACACACATTTAGGGCTCTATAAAGTGCATAAACGGACCCATTGACTTACTTTTCTGACCTGGACATAACCAAATCAGGAGTTTTGTTGTAAAAACTTGGTCTCTACCACGTGACAACTTGCCTTGCTCTGCTACAAACTAATAACCTACCTTGGATATGTTCCTCCCCCTTTTTTTTTATATTGGTGTTTGTTGTACAAGTGGAGCTAGGGTGAGGCTAACTGGTTCAACTGGACCTATCCCAAATCTCTCTGCTCAGTGATTGCTACTTACAGCCTAAGAAGATGATTAAACATTTTTGTTTGTTCAAGTACAATATATAGTTGCAACCCAAACATTGT